TGAAATACTCCTTTAGTAAAAAGATGTACAGTGTATCAGCACCTTTTCCACTCAAATTGCACATTACAATCATCTTTAACTCAGTTTTGTTTGTAGTTCTTGTATGTGGTTGGCACAAAGGATTAAAAATGAGTGTGATGGGTTGACGCGTTGGTTGACACTCATACGTGCCAGGGTAAATTTGCAAGTTAAACCTTTTTCAACATATGATGCCACTGGGCGCCTTTTCAGTCTTTGCACCAGGATTGTTTCATAATTCATTCTGCAATGACTGGCACCTCATCACTTTTTCACATGTATGAACAGGAGCTAAAGCAGTGCTCCTTAACCTTGGAATAAGAGAGAGCTATCAAAGTACCACTGAGAATCTGTAGGTGTTAGCAGTTGTTTGGGGGCAGTCTGATTGAATCGCGGTCGATCTGAGCTTGACCATCTAAATCAATCTCTGTTCAGTCTCCCTCACCAGCAGTCCACAGGTTAGATAGCTAATATTGATGAAGTTATCTGGTGTCATGATGCTGTTGATGGTACAAACCTCCCATCACACACATCAATACCAGGACTATTGTGGAGCTGTCTTAGGTGTGAGGAGCTTTTCCCCGAGTTGAGAAATTAGTTTGGACAGACCACCCTCGTTTACAAAAGAGCCAATTACAGCAGCATAATGCCGTCTCCAATTAGATTTGCATGGCCCGCTCAGAGGCAGGCACTGCCTATTGTCCTGCAGATTAAACCCAGCCAGAGCACCAGCCATGCTGCTCTCACTGAGCCTCAGGGCTTCACATCCACTGCCTGCACATACTGCCCTTGCTGTGCCAAGCCTTCCAGCATCACGCACACAAGCCTACATCTGTACATCCAAACACATACGCATACACACTGTGTGTTGTACTGATGGGTGACTGTTAGTATCCATTTACTCTGCTGCCTGACTGGAGCATCATTTAATACTATGACTGATTTAAAGAGCTGGCAGAACACTGCTTGCTCATGACATTCAAGAGTTTTCTTTTTGCAGACAAAAAACCCCACTTGTCCTTAGATTCAGTACGTTTTTAACCATAAATGTTAGAGAAGTACTCCAGCAAATTAGTTCAGCACTTTCTTAAAGTTAGGGGACTCACCAGAGACATATTTAAAAAAAAAGAATGGTCAAAATTGAAGCTGCTGAGGGTGAGTTATTCTGACTTTTAGTCCTTAATATGCATCAAGCTCCAAAATCACTATATTTACCATAATGCAACTCAGTAGTATCTTTTCATTAGTCCCTCTCTGCCTGGTAAATGCCAGTGTCAAAATCCAAACAACACAGGCTCTCTCTGTTACATTCATAGTCTCCAAGCCCAAATTGAGATAACCCTGATGACATCACTATGACCTCATCAGAGGTTATTTTCTCACACTTGTATGAGACTTGTTCTATGCAACTGTTTTCATAGGCAGACAGGGAACTGATTGTCTTCACTTTCAGACTTAGTTTACGTTTTCATTGTTCCCACCTACAAATGGAAGTTTTGTTCTGTCTTACCAAATAATATTAATAGTGTTACGAAGTTTAAGGAGTTAGTCTAGGGTTTCCAAAGTATTAAATCGATTCATTTTCGATTGTCTTTGGTGTAGGGCAAAGTGCAATATTCTTAGTGTGGTGTAGATCTGTGTGTGATGTGTGTGATACGTGTGATACTGCATGTTAGCTGTAGTTCGATTGTGTGCTGCTACGTCAATCATGTTCTCCTCAAATCCCAAGACAGTCAGAACAAGACACTCTATTCTATTTCCCAACAATGATGCACATCAAAGAAACGTTATCACATTTGCTGCACAGATCGGCTATCTTACCATGACTGTATGACGCATTTGGTGCAATGGCGTGACGCATCGCAACATGGCCAGTTTGTGTTGCACTGAAACGTTCAACAGAATAAGATTCGGTGTCATATCTGTAACTGTGGCAACATGTTTTATTCCCAACTACATCAAAGAAGCATTCTCCATAGTAAGGGTGGCTGAGGCTTATGGGTAGTATTAAGAACCATCTGCTGAAAAAAACATAATTCCCCTTAAAAGAAGATGAAATAATTCAACCTAATGGCCAGAACATAAACTTATAACATGGTTAAATGATCCAACAGACTCCTGCATTTCTATCTTGAGGCACATGGAGGAGATGTTTAAAAAAAAACCGTTGCAATAGAACCTACAGTGGGGGGAAATTACTTATGGAACCACTACCAATCACAGTGTGTTAAATAGTAAACTGAATGGGTTTTAGACTCCGGGTTCCTCCAGCAGGATGTCTTGAGTGAGTCTTGAGGGTTGCCAGGCTAGAGAGGGATTCTCTGCGGAGAATCAGTTTCAGGGCATTTTTAATCTTGTAGAGTGTAGCAGTGTGTTTATTTAGGGTCTGAACCCCTGCAGGATACTGGTATCAATTCACTAACCAGGGCACAGACCCTTCTCATGGACTCATTGCTTTGGCATCTCCCGTCACTTCGTCCTCTGCCACTGACTGTGTTGTTGGTTTGATATTGCTGTTGCTTTGCTTTCATTATTGTGCTTGTGTTACCAGACTAAAAATAAAATATTAAATAAAAATAAAATAAATAGCTACGCATCAGAAAAAAAGGCTGACCAATATATCGGTCTGGCTCTAATAAATTCAGATGCAACCCATATAACATATTGTATTAGTGAATTCATTACAGTTCAAATGTTCAAATTCCAAATAAAACACAAGCCTTTCCTGACCCCTTCCGTGGTTGGGTCTCCTATAATGTGTTAACAGTGCTAAAGTTTAGTATTGAGGTTGGGATCTATCAACCATACTTCTTACCATCCAGCAGCTGTGTTTGAAATGAAACACATGAGGCTTCAGCTCCCATCAACTTGTGACTTACCTTTTCTCTTGCCTTTGTTAGAGAACGATTCCCGTTGGGATGTTGTGAGGTTAATGGCTGTGAAGAAATTGCACTAATGAGTCATAATTTGCAATGGTGACCACGAAAGTTGAGGTCGTGTAATTAGGGAGGGTGCTAATGATGGTGAAGCGGCGGGAGAGAGACATAAACATCCTGACCAATTGGCTGTCAGCTGATGACCACTGGTGTTACCCTGCTGGATACAGTCTGAGCTCTCCTTCAGCATCACTACCAGCTGAACTAGCCTGGAAAAATACTGTAGGGAAAAGGGAAAACTACTCAGTTGTACAGTTACAACCTTTGTCCCACGATTAAAACAAATGCAGACAAAGGCATATGCAAAGACCGCACAAACCCTGAATGGCGACGTTTGCCATTTTAAAGAAGGTCACCACCAACTAAAAATCAGTCTTCTATCTGAAAGCTGAAAAGGAGATAAAACAAATTAGTCACTGTTGGATCAGCGAGTTTTGCCAACCCACGTGTGTCAGGGTCACCTTGAGCATACTTGAACATTGTTGACAAAACTGCAGGCAGTGTTTTCTGTTGGAAGGAATACTACACATGAATTTCTGTTAGTTGTGGCACATGCAGTGGCCTGGTTTCAGATGTAAAGGCTGACCCTTCACCTCTGAAGGCACAGCTTGGCTCAAGACTTCCATTAATGACAAGGTTACAGTGTGTTTTGATTGGCAGGCTGCCCTCTCGTAGGTGCGGAGGAATGTGGGCTCAAGCCATGGAAAAGCAAAGAGTTACTCAGGCAGTTCCTGTGATCGTATTCAGCTTCAGGTATCACTTTCCATAGCTCTCAGGCCTGTCCTGTCTTATTCCCTGTATGGCCTTTCCCTGGGGATTGTGCTTGTGGCTGCATTCCAGAGCCGTCCTCTCAAATTAGACTTTCTGGGGGCTGCAGCCGTTCTGATGCTCCCTTCATTAGGAGGCAACGACACAAACCCTGCCTTCTTGACCACGGTTGAGATCCTGCCAGCTGCTCCAAAGCAGCTGTCTCAATGTTTACACTTTTAGCCTCCTGCAATTTAAGGAACAGTAGGTTTGTAAAGGTCCAGCAGGTCTGCAGTAAACACTAACTGACTGACTTGTTGTCAGCAAACGACTGTTCCCTGGGTGCTGTACAACACACTCCTTGAGGCCCTTAATTTGCAGTTTGCATCAGCAGAATACAGGACACAGAATATGTCTATTGGTTTACATTCAAGGTTGATTAGAGCCACCATCCCTATATAAAAGAATACATTTTTGTAAACTTGTTTTGTTTCCCTAGTTTGTTTTTGTTCACGTCTATATGTATACACTACAAAAACCATTACAATAACTTGGACTGATTAATGGTTACCTAATGCCCTTGGACTCCACTGTTGAGAAAGGCTGCAAGCCTTTTACAATAAACTGGCATGGCAAACAGCCCTGTGTCATCATTCATCCTCTCCTCTGTCCTCCTCCCTCTGCTGCTGGAGAGGACCTGCTGGTAGAAAGGAGGGGCTGATGGTCACAGCCTCGAAGTCTACAATTGTCAGACACATGGCTAATTAGGCTTACAATTTTTATTCACCAATAAGACATCGGCCACCATATCAGTCAATCATTTCTGCTTTGTGCTTTGAATTCAAAGTGTACTGCCTAACAACACTGTATTTACAAGCAAAATTGCAAATAATTAAGACCATTTCATGTATTTCCAACATAAAGGGCTGAAATTATAAATGAAACGTACTACATGGAGTTTTTAACTGCTTATGAAACAGTCTTAAGTTAGTACTGATGCCTCTATATGAGCTAATAAGACCATCAGCGAGAAGAGATGGCTATTTCTAACTGGTTGGTAAAGGTTCCTTGTAGGGGCTTTAGAAAAAAGTTTAATTCTAAAAACAAAATATCCAAGTGTGGTCAGATTTGTTCAGGTAGTCAACCAAATCCTGTAGAAACACACTGTGGTACATTTATGGAAGCGCTGCAGCTCAGCAGACTTAAGTGCTTATCATGTTCTTGCAAGAGAGTTGTATAAGTGAAAGTAAATAACATTCAGTGGCAATAACACCAATCCGTCTCCTCCTGTCTCCACAGATGCAGCAGCTCTTCTATGAGAACTATGAACCAAATAAGAAAGGCTATATACGAGATCTCCACAACAGCAAGATCCATCGAGCCATCACCCTGCACCCCAACAAGAACCCTCCCTACCAGTATCGCCTACACAGCTATATGCTGAGCCGCAAGATTGCAGACCTGCGCCACCGAACCATTCAGCTCCACCGGGAGATCGTCCAGATGGGGCGCTACGGAGCAGCTGAACCCAGCCGAGAGGACCTCCAGCTTGGAGTGCCACCCTCATTCATGCGCTTCCATCCGCGGCAGAGAGAGGACGTCCTGGAGTGGGAGTTTCTCACAGGGAAGTACCTGTTCTCATCATCCGACAGTCAGCCGCCCCGTCGTGGGATGGATTCCTCCCAGAGGCAAGCCCTGGATGACATCATCATGCAAGTGATGGAGATGATTAACGCCAATGCAAAGACACGGGGCCGGGTCATTGATTTCAAAGAAATCCAGTATGGCTACCGGAGGGTCAATCCCTTATATGGGGCAGAGTATGTCCTCGATCTGCTGCTGCTGTACAAGAAGCACAAAGGAAAAACCATGACGGTTCCTGTGAGGAGGCACGCCTACCTGCAGCAGACCTTCAGCCAGATCCAGTTCAGAGAGGAGGAGGAGATGGATGCCAGAGCTCTGGCCAGCCACATCAACAAGGAGTCAGACTCCCTCTCGTTTCTGTCCAACTCCCTCAAGATGCTGGTGCCCTTCAAGCTGGCTACCTCTGGCCAGGACCAGCGGGAACCGAAAGAGAAGAAAGTCAACATCTTGGTGCCTCTGTCGGGACGCTACGACATCTTTGTACGCTTCATGGCCAACTTTGAGCGAGTTTGTCTGATCCCCAAACAGAACGTCAAGCTGCTGATCCTGCTCTTCAGCACAGACAACAACACGGAACGGGTCAAGCAGGTGGAGCTGATGAGGGAGTACCACATGAAGTATCCCCGGGCCGAGATGGAGATAAAGCCTGTCACTGGCTCCTTCTCCAGGGCTCTGGCTTTGGAAGTGGGTTCCTTGCACTTCTCTAACGACTCACTGCTCTTCTACTGTGACGTGGATCTGCTCTTCACCGCAGACTTCCTCAAGCGATGTCGGTCCAATACCGCCCTGGGGGAGCAGACTTACTTCCCCATTATCTTCAGCCAGTATGACCCCAAGGTGGTGTACGCTGGGAAGGTCCCTAGCAACAACCACTACGTCTTCACGTCCAAGACGGGCATGTGGAGGAACTACGGCTTTGGGATCGTCTGTGTCTACAAGGGAGACTTGGTCCGAGCCGGAGGCTTTGATACCTCCATACAGGGGTGGGGATTGGAGGACGTAGACCTTTTTAATAAATTTGTCCAGTCAGGGATTAAGTTGTTCAGAAGCACAGACACAGGGACAGTGCACGTCCACCACCCTGTCCTATGTGACCCCAACCTGGAGGCGAAGCAATATAAGATGTGCCTGGGCTCCAAAGCCTCGTCGCACGGCTCCACCCAGCAGCTGGCCGAGCTCTGGCTGGAGAAGAACGACCACGGCTTCAGGAGACTGGCCAGCAATAACGGTTCAGTTAGGACAGCGTGAGAAAAGCCGGGCCGCAGACTGCCATAAACCGAACCCGAACCCGGTCTGTGCTCACTTCCTCCTCTTAGTGGTGTTTTCACTACCTAATTTATTTTTTACTGAAATGAAAGACTTCACATGGATATATTTTGAAAATATGTCTTTTTTTTAACAGAAAATATACAGAAACGCCATCATGAACAAACCATAGACACAGTCTGGGCTCTAGTGCGAGTGTTTTGATTGATGATAGAGGGAATATTGACCGATATTCTCATGTGAGCCTGATTACAGCGGGGGCCCGAGGCTCCTATAGTCTTGTTACATGTTATCTATCAGGACGGTGGGAGAAACGGAGGCAGGGGTTATTGATGTGTACCTCAGTGAAGTACACCATCATGGTTCTTAAATATTCCATTTGTCTCGTGTGCAGAAAACAGACTGGTGTCCATGTACTCTCAGACCAGCAGTGCTCGAAACGTAACTCTTGATTGTGAATGTTTACAAAAGACTGACTCTTAAAGACATTTCATCAACGAAAACTTTAAATCACAGCTATCTCAATGATTACTATGGGCCATTTATCATTTTTTTTCTTCCTGACTTACAGTGGTTCTCTTTTCCATTTGCTTTTATGGTAATACGACACAACACTGTTACTGTTTCTCCAGGATCTTCTCCTTTTTTTTGTATCTGTCTTTATTATTCATTTCTGTGAACCAAACTGCTGGATTTTATATCTGCAATTCATCCTTTGCTGTCTAATTTATTGAATTTGCAGGCTCCATTTTCGACTCTGACTGTTGAAAAATGTATATTTGAAAGATTGTATAACCGTGTCAGTTGTGGGATAGTGTTTTTTATGTTCCTTTTCTTAAACTCATTATCACCAAAGAGTTTTGCACAGTCTGCTTTAGGTGTCATGTTGCCTGTGTGTATGTGTATGTGTGTATGCGTGTGTGTG